ACAAATCAAAAAGATGAATTAGAAAAATTAACAGGATTTGAAATAGTAAAAAAAGTTAAGTATTTGGGGGTTTCTATTATGACATCAAATGCGAAATTATTCACGCATAACTATGATCCGTTGTGGCAAAAAATACAGAGAGAGATGGAAAATTGGAAAAAATTACAATTATCCTTGTTAGGAAGAATAGCAGCAGTAAAAATGAATGTTTTGCCTAAGTTTTTGTTTCTTTTTCAAATGATACCAATTCTTAAAAAAGATGAAAATTTGAAGATATGGCAGAAGGATATTAATAATTTTGTCTGGGCAGGGAAGAGACTGAGAATAAAACAAAAAATAATGCAGGATATACGTGAAAGAGGAGGTCTCAAAATGCCCAATTTAAGACTATATTATGAGGCAGCTGCCCTATCAGCAATGAGTGATTGGATGAACTCAACAGAAGAAAGAATATTGAATATTGAGGGATATGATTTGGTTTACGGGTGGCATGCTTATTTATTATATGATAAGAAAGTGGATAACACTTTTAAAAGTCACATATTAAGGAATGCTTTACTGCATGTCTGGAAAAAGTATAAATATAAATTAAACGAGAAGTTACCAATGTGGGCAATACCCAGACACGTGATAGAGAATATAAGTGTAGAGCAAAAACAAGATGTGATTACATACAAAGAGCTTCTTAACAAGGAAAGAGGTATACTACAATTAAAATCTTTGAATCAACTAAGAGAAGAAAGGATAATTCAAACATGGTTTCAATATGTACAGTTGCAAGCTAGATGGAGAGAAGATCAGAAAATTGGTATTTTGCAAAATGAGGAGAACTAGGTAAAACAGATTAGAGATCAAAGTCAAATGCATATAAAAAGGTTGTATAATGCATTGGTAGAAATAGATTCAGAAATGGAGTTAGTTAAGGACTGTATGATAAAGTGGGCACAAAATATTGAAGAACCAATAATGATGGAAACGTGGGAAAAAATATGGGTTAGAAATGTGAAGTTTACTCAAGCCCAAAACTTAAGAGAGAATTTTTATAAAATGTTTTATAGATGGCATCTAGATCCTAAAAAGCTAGCCTGTATGTATCCAAATGTGCAACCTAAGTGTTGGAGATGCGAATGTGATGATGCCACGTATTATCATACAGGTGAAACTCAAAAAATTAGAATATCGTGCAAAAGTTCATTTATTTCAGTAATGCAACTTAAAAGGTGAAACTAATATATGAGATAGACTCATTACATGCAAAGTGAGATAGTTCAAGCCTTGATTTGTCATAATTTTGAGGATTATGGCTTATAGCTCATGAAAACCCCAAATTCACAATCTCAGAAAATTAGAATATTACATGAAATCAATAAAACAAGGATTGTACATAGAACAATATCGGACCTCTGAAAAGTATAAGCATGCATATGTACTCAGTACTTGGTTTGGGCTCCTTTTGCATCAATTACTGCCTCAGTGCGGAGTGGCATGGATGCTATCAGCCTGTGGCACTGCTGAGGTTTTATGGAAGACCTGGATGCTTCAATAGCGGCCTTCAGCTCTTCTGCATTGTTCGGTCTCATGTCTCTCATCTTTCTCTTGGCAATGCCCCATAGATTCTCTATGGGGTTCAGGTCAGGTGAGTTTGCTGGCCAATCAAGCACAGTAATCCCAAGGCCATTGAACCAGGTTTTGGTACTTTTGGCAGTGTGGGCAGGTGCCAAGTCCTGCTGGAAAATGAAGTCAGCATCCCCATAAAGCTCATCTGTGGAAGGAAACATGAAGTGCTCCAAAATCTCCTGGTAGACGGCTGCGTTGACCCTGGATTTAATGAAGCACAGTGGACCAACACCAGCAGATGACATGGCTCCCCAAATCAACACAGACTGTGGAAACTTCACACTGGACTTCAAGCATCTTGCAGTGTGTGCCTCTCCATTCTTCCTCCAGACTCTGGGCCCTTGGTTTCCAAATGAGATGCAAAAGTTGCTCTCATCAGAAAAGAGGACTTTGGACCACTGAGCAACAGACCAGTTCTTTTTTTCTTTAGCCCAGGTAAGACGCTTCTTACGTTGTTTGTTGTTCAGGAGCGGCTTGACGGAGAATACGATATTTGATGCCCATGTCCAGGATCCGTCTGTATGTGATAGCTCTTGATGCACTGACTCCAGCCTCAGTCCACTCCTTGTGAAAGTCCCCAACACTTTTGAATGGCCTTTTCCTGACAATCCTCTCCAGGCTGCAGTCATCCCTGCTGCTTGTGCACCTTTTTCTTCCACACTTTTCCCTTCCACATAACTTTCTATTAATGTGCTTTGATACAGCACTTTGGGAACATCCAACTTCTTTTGCAATTACCTTTTGAGGCTTTCCTTTCTTATGGAGGGTGTCAATGATGGTTTTCTGCACAACTGTCAGGTCAGCAGTCTTTCCCATGATTGTGATTCCTACTGAACCAGACTGAGAGACCATTTAAAGGCTCAGGAACCCTTTGCAGGTGTTATGGCTTAATCATCTGGTTAGAGTGGGACACTTTGAGCCTAGAATATTGAACCTTTTCACAATATTCTAATTTTCTGAGATTGTGAATTTGGGGTTTTCATGAGCTGTAAACCATAATCATCAAAAGTATGACAAATCAAGGCTTGAACTATCTCGCTTTGCATGTAATGAGTCTATCTCATATATTAGTTTCACCTTTTAAGTTGCATTACTGAAATAAATGAACTTTTGCACGATATTCTAATTTTTCGAGTTTCACCTGTATATGGTGGCCGTGTAAAAAAATTAAGGAGGAGGGATGGGAAAAAAATTGTTGTAATATTTGATAAAACTTTTTAATAAAAAAAAATAAAAAAATTAAAGCTCTACATGGCTTAGGGCCAGGTTATCTTCGAGACCGCCTTCTACCACATAGCTCCCAGCGACCGGTAAGATCCCACAGAGTTGGTCTCCTCCGGGTCCCGTCAGCTAAACAATGCCAACTGGCGGGCCCGTGGGGGAGGGCCTTTTCTGTGGCTGCCCCAGCTCTCTGGAACCAGTTACCTCCTGAGGTCCGGACCACCCCCACCCTATTGGCCTTCCGAAAAGCGGTGAAGACCTGGCTTTTCCAGCAGGCCTGGGGCCGTTGATCTCGCTGTTGCAATCTTGTGAGATCCGGCCATGAATGGTGTGAATGAGTTTTAATATTTTAATTTTTAAATGTTTTTATAATGGTTTTTTTTAAATGCATTGTAAGCCGCCCTGAGTCTCTGGAGAAAGGTGGCATATAAATTGAAATACTACTACTAATAATACTAATACTAATACTAATTATTATTATTATTATTATTATTATTATTATTATTATTATTATTATTATTATTCCGAACAGTTAGGTAAATAAGCTCTTTCTTTGTGGGTTTAATAACCTGATACTTATTATCTGTCCTTTAGCTACAGAGTTAAATTCATCCTATTTTAATATCTTAGAATATTAATGCCAACAAAGTGTCATCCTGAATTTCAGCTTGCTTTGCTGGATGCCAGCCTGCCATAGACTATAAAGGGAGGGGGGAACTGTACTTGTCGTGTCTTCCTGAGACACCGGTTGTCATCCAAGGCCAGAAACCTGGGAGGGGAATGCAATGGCTCACAATGTAGCCCGCTGATCCAGGGAAGGTTATCTAAACAATTCCTTTGAATGTAACTGGACAATAGGGAGATAATGGGAGAGAAACAGGAAAGATAACTAGGAAACCTTTGCATATAAACCCTTAGTTCTGGCTTTGATGTACTGTAAGCACTTGGCTTTTAGTAAAAGTATACCTTTCACACAAATGGAGTCAAGGGTCTTTCTTTCCCAAGTTGGGGCAGGTGTGACACAAAGAATATTGATAGCCTTTTTTCATCTGAGGTTTCCAAATTTTACTTTATTCTTTCTTAAATTTGTTTGGCAGTGAAATATGGGATTGATATAAGAAGTAATCAGTAAACCAATCAAAATAAAAGCCACCTCATTAGGTCTTTTTCATCTGGGAGCAATGATTGAATATTCTGGTTTTTCTAATACTAACCCCTTGGTATAAATTAATCCTTGACAATAGAATAAAAACCTGTTCATGCAAAAATGTGCAGGATTTCTTCAAAAGATGTGAAACAAGCAGTTCCACGGTGTCCTTTGAAGATGCCTAAGAAATTCTGAAAGCCCCAAATGTCTTTAGTAAAGACCCAAGGCAGAAAACAAGAGGAAGGACAGTTATTTTCCTTCATTCCTTTACCACTTCTGTTGATTACTCTGAGCACTTTTTTAATATTCTATCTTTGGCAAATGTATACTATATATTTAGTGAAGACATCATGACGCCAGTCACTCTTGACTACATGGTGATCTAGTAGTGAAGGTGCCAGAAGGCAATGAGTTACAGTTCTTCCTTAGGCAAGAAAGTTGGCTGGAAGACCTTGGGCCAGCCACCCTCTCTCAGCCCAACCCACCTCACAGGGTTATTGTTATGGTGGAAATAGGAGGAGGAAAGAGCATTGGATATGTTTTCCAATATGAGTTATTTATAAAATAACAGCTTCTGTACCAGAGACAAATTCCTTGTGTGTCTAATCACACTTGGCCAAATAAAGCTATTCTATTCTGTCCTGTCCCATCCTATTCAATACATAAAATCAGAGCAAGGATTCCTATGTTTACTGGTGAAAATAGTTCCAGTATGTTTCCAATGATGCATCCATAGTTATCAGCAAAGAGTGAAACTCTAAAAGTTTTATTTTAATCCTTCTCTTCATTTCCCCTCACAAAAAGTGCTTGAATGTTCAAACTACTGACCTTCAGAATATCTAGTCTAATCTGTGCTGGCCAGCAAATTCTGGAGAGAGCACTTTGCTTTTCAGATCTGAATATTCTGTGCCTGGGACTCCATTTAGCTGAGTAAATGTAATCTCATATTCCAGCTCTTTTCATTTTGTTTTCTCAACAGACAGGGTCAAGAGAATTTTTCAGATAATTTGCTCACCTCTAAGATATCATGCAGTACTTCATCAAAGATGTTAATGAAGATGTCATCCTTCACTGACTGCAGACTAGAGATGCTATAGTCACTGTTAGGAGCTCTGTAATGATATTTTAAAACAGAGATACAGTACAGATCAAAATATAATTTGCAATACATCAGCATGGCAAAGGCTTGTTTTCTCTTCCCTTCTTCCCTAGTCTCTAAGACTAGCTCAATTTTTATAATGATTTCATCACAATACAATATCCTATTATCCTGTTCCATTAGAAGGGTTAGTAGAGTATTAGAGAGTTCAAAGGTTTGACTCCCACCCCATCAGAATCCCAATCTTTCATTCAGCTGTGAACAGACGCTATCTAATTCAATAAGGGAATGATAAAAAATGCCCAAAGCTGGAGAGGGAAAGTGATACAGTGGTAGAATCAAGATCTGGAGCAGGATGAAGTTTTTCTCACACTTCAGCCATGTTTTCAAACTCAGTTCCTTTGTGGTCTTCTACAGAAATCAAAACTGTTTTTATTTTCAGAAAAGTTCAAAGCCATTTTGTTATACTAATGGACATCTACTGACCGGAATTCATTTAAAGCAATTGAGATTTTCACACAAGGTTTTCATTTGCCACTTTGTGAGGTACAGAATGAAATGCTAAATAACAGGGGTAGGTAAAAGGGGCAAGAAATCTTTCCAATTTTGGCTTAAATTCAAAATCTCCCTCCTTCAGAAACCTAAAGGAAAAAGAAGAGGAGGAGGAGGAGGAGGAGGAGGAGGAGGAGGAGGAGGAGGAGGAGGAGGAGAGGAGGAGAAGAGAGAGAAGAGAAGGAGAAGGAGAAGGAGAAAGGAGAAGGAGAAGAGAAGGAGAAGGAGAAGGAGAAGGAAGAGAAATAATCCTCAGCTTGTGTCCAAATGCACAATTTGATCTTGGCCTTTTTGTCCCACCCAATGTAGTTCTTCTCCAATGGAAAGAAGGCTTTATGGGATCCATTCACACCTAAATGGAAGTTCCAGCTCTTCACTCCAGTTTGGATTTGACCCTTCTGCGGTGGTTGTCTGACAAACTGTTCGCTGGAAAGAAACCTCTACAAAAGGCCGAACTGAAACCTACAATTAAACAGAACTCAAAGCTTTGATATGTTAGATGAGATGCAAAGCTCGGATATGTCAAACTACATTTTCCAACTGAAACTAGAAACTGTAGATACCTTCAAGCATATTATAAACATCCATTAAAATACATATATAAATACCCTGTTTCCCCCAAAATAAGACATCTCGATAATAAGCCTAATCGGGCTTTTGAGCACATGGCAATAAGGCCAAGTGCTTATTTCAGGGTTCAAAAAAATATAAGACAGGATCTTATTTTACAGTCATAGATATGGACACTTTCTGGAAAAAATTTCCAGGATCAAAATTTTCTATTTAATGTAAATTTGGCTGTTTCAAAATAGTATAATATTTTATTGTTTGATTACCTGTTCAGTACTGTTTCTAACATTCCGTGCTTCTAACATTTAACATTAATAAAATTTATCTGAATACCAAAAAAATTTTAAAAAATCTTTACATTTAGTGCTCAAAGTTTATAAAACTTTTCCCCCAAAATCAAATAACATAGACTATGGATAACAAGATGAATAGGCTAAGTGAAAATATCTTCATTTATAAAGGGAAGTCTCCTGGAAAACATCCTTGAAAGCTTTCAAATTCAAAATTTATCAAAAAGACTATATCACTATAGAGAATTTACATGAAAAGCACATGATTAAAAACTGTGTAAGAATATAATAAATACATTCCGTTTAGCCCAGTCTGTAATGGGTATGTTGGTTTATCGAATATAGGAAGTGCAAATTTTTCTTTTTCTCCTTTTTTGGTGGCAGGATTGACCCAACAAAGACATTATTGTGATTTTAGTGCTAGGTGGATGTTAAAATAAACAGCATTTCACTTGCATTTTAACTTGGCATAGGAAGATCCAAGTATTACTTTCAGAGCAATATATGGAACACTATATGTAAACTGGTATTATTTAACAAGCTACGAAGAAAAAAAAAGTAAAAAAATTTTTTTTCCATATATTTATGGACTTGGGCAGACAATATAATAATTCAGTTAGGAATATCCCTTCTTCTACAGCATAGAAGAAGAATATACTGCCACTAGAAGCATTAAATCTTTTTTTAAGTGTTAGCAGCTATATTTATCAATTTCACAGAATGAACCCCTCAAGAATAGTGGAATGGTGATCCCTATACATAAAAAGAATAAGGATATTGCTATTATTCAACTATTTATCCATTTGTCCCCTCCAGGTTCATGGCATTGTAAGGTACCTGGCTAAATGTCCAGTCCATACTGTGGTTGGAGCTGTGTGGAGTTGCAGAAGCAACAAACATCTCATTGAAAGCCCATGATGATTTAGATGGCTGCTGAAGTTTGCTTTACAAAAAGGTGTAGAAAAAGTCAATAAACTTCTAATAGGATTTTTTAAAAATAAAACAAAAATATTGTAAGTACAAATTTTGCAAAAGTGATGATGACATTTGCACAGCAATAATACAAATAAATTATTTCCCTTCCCTCTTGTTTTTGCTATTTTTTCAATTTGCACACATACACTCCATCCACCCAAACCCCCAAAACTTGTTCATTGCTCAGCAATGAATACACAGATCTTATTGTGCTACTTGTATACTGTACTGCTGATCTCTATAACAGTTAAAATGTAGTAAATGTGAATAAATTAAAAAACCAACAACTGACTAAAATTATCACACTACAAAGGTAAATTGAAATAGCAGTGATAATGAAAAATAAAATTAATATTGACAATAAAATAGTATTAATAATGCCATTTAAATATTTCAAGCGAAATAAATGAAGTTGGCAAGAACCAACTATTAAACTAAATACTCTTCAGAGATGTTTTATTTTATCTCAGTAGGTCATGGAACAAAAGAGAAAGGTACTGTACCAGGCTGTACTGGAACCATAACTGGAAAATGTTAGGTCCTGTTCTCCCCCCACCATTCCCCTTATTTCACAATTTTGCTCTCTCTCTCTCTCTCTCTCTCTCTCTCTCTTTTGTCTGTAAAAGGGGGTTTCAGATGCTCCTAATCTGAACTGTGAAATCAAATATTGATGATAACCTATAGCATTTGATGATCTAATAATCATCAGAAAGCTAATTAAAGGTTTTTGATTCTATATAGAATAGGTTTTGGAAAATCCTGGGATGTTCACATGATGGTTTGTGAAAATGACCTTGGGATACAGGAGGAAAAGCCACAGTCAAGGCAATGGTTACACAAGAGAGATCTCAGCATACAACAGGAATGGTTGCCTGGCAATATCTTGGAAAGGATCCCTCCCAGTTTCCTGGAAAGTAGAAGTAAGGGTGGGAGAAGGGAGAGATGTGCTTTCAGACTTGCAAGCTGGATGCAAGCTCCCCTTTGAGGTAGTCTAGATGAGAAATCAAAACCATGAGTATTAACACTACTTCTATTACAGATAGTCTTCACCTTACTACCACAATTAAGTCCAAAATTTCTGTTGCTAAGTGAGATATTTGTTAAGTGAGTTATTTATTTATTTTATTTTATTTTATTTGTATACTGCCCTTCTCCCAAAAGGGACTCAGGGCGGTGAACAGCCAAAATTAAAATACATACAATACAAAAGTTAAGATAATTAAAAGAGATTAAATCAATCGGCCTCCCAATTTAAAACCCCAAGTCTATAAAATTTAAAAATCCCATTAAAAACCATTTAGGCTAGGCCGGCTTGCTGGAATAAGGGCCTTCAGGGCCTTACGGAAGGTCCGGAGATCCGGGATCAGTCGTATTCCAGGAGGTAGCTCATTCCACAGGGCGGGTGCCCCCACAGAGAAGGCTCTCCCCCTGGGGGCCGCCAGCCAACATTGCTTGACCGACGGCACCCTGAGGAGGCCCTCTCTGTGAGAGCGTATTGGCCGGTGGGAGGTTATTGGTAACAGCAGGCGGTCTTGTAGGTACCCTGGCCCTAAGCCATGGAGCGCTGGAGTTATGACCTGTCTTGCCACAGTTATTAAGTGAATCACTGCAGTTGTTAAGTTAGTAACACAGTTGTTAAGTGAATCTGGCTTCCCCATTGGTTTTGCTTGTCAGAAGGTCACAAAAGGTGATCACATGACCCCAGGACATGGCAATCATCATAAATATGATGACAAAGTGATGCACCGGTGCAGCAGCCACTAAGTGAGGCAGTAGGTGGAGTGGAGGATGAAGCGATGTACTGTTGCAGCAGCCACTAAGCGAGGCAGTAGGGGTGGAGGACAAAGCAAGATAGGGGGTGCAGGGTTGCCCCATGCACTCCACACTGGCTTACCTGAGGGTCCCACAGCCAACGTGCTTTGACAACTGCCTGGCCTCACGGCAGCGACTCCAACATCCCCATGCAGGATTGGCTTGCTTCTTCTCCTTGGTCGCCGCCACAGCAAAAGAGAAGGCTGAGCAATGCACTGGTGCTCAGCCACTAAGCAAGGTGGTTGGAGGGTGGAGGATGAAGCAAGGTGATGGGATGGTGGAGGACGAAGCAAGGTAGTGGGGAGTGGAGGACGAAGCGATGCACTGGTGCTGCGGCTACTAAGCAAGGCAGCGGGTGTGTGTGTATTGGAGGATGCTAAACCTAACCCCACCCCTAACCCACTGCACCCCAGGGCAACCACAATGCCAAATCCTAATCCTAACCCACCCCAGGCCAACCACAATGCCAAACCCTAACTTTAGCCCACCCCAGGCCAACCACAATGCCAAACCCTAACCCACCCCAGGGCAACCACAGTGCCAAACCATAACCCTCTCCAGGGCAACCACAATGCCAAACCCTAACCCACCCCAGGGCAACCACAGTGCCAAACCCTAACCCACTCCAGGGCAACCACAATGCCAAACTCTAACCCTAACCCATCCTACCCTAGGTCAACCACAATGCTGATGTACAACAATCTACATTTGTTCAAATATAGTTATGTCATCTTCTTCTGGAACATCGTCATAACTCTCCAAACATTGAATTCTGGCCTGAAATTCTTGTGACTCCATTTCCTGTAAAACCATTGGCCCCAATATCTCATGTCTAGCAATAGAGGTCTCCATAAATGAGCATTTCTTGTCCATGTAGCCTGCTCATAGTGCATTGGCAACACAGGTTTCAGTGATTTTATCCCATGAATTCTTCACTCAAGTCACAACCTGTGGCAGACTAGGCTTCACAAAGTTTCCATGCTGATTTCTCTCCATTCTATTTTCAATGTAGCCACTGATTTCCACATGCAAATGGTCCTTGAATGGCTTGTTTACTGCAGTATCAAGAGTCTAGAGATAGGCAGTCATTCATGTGGGAATCATTATTTGATCTATTCTTCTCTGTGCAAGGAACTTCTTCATGTCTTTAATGCGGTGAGTGCTAGCTGAATCCTAGACTAGCAGACCTCTTTGGTCACCTCGCATAACAAGTGGCAGCATTAAATCAACCCACTTCCTTATAACAGCTTGTGTGTACCAGGCTTTTTTGGTTTCAAGAAATGCCTGAAAAAAATTCAATCTTGCCTTTCTTGCCCTTAGTGATGATTAGAGGTGGGACTTTCTTTCCATCCAGACAAATTGCCAAAATACAGGTAACACATGCACTTTCGTAACCAGTGAAGGGAATGTAGATTGGCAAGGCACTCCTCTGATCAATTGTCATCTGAGATCCTTGGCCCGTAAACATTGCCATTTCATCTATGGCAATCATGTTGGAAGTTGATATTTAGAAAAGTCGATGCCATCAACAAAGGACTTGAATGCAAGTGCGTGTATAATAAGTTCAGTATCTTCCAGCTTGAACAGTGTTGTCGATCTTCTTAGAGACCATTCATATCGCTGAAGGAAGCCATCCAGCCAGTGTTGGGATGCTCTGAATTCTTCTGGGGATATTTCTAACTGTGGTGCCATTGCAAGGGAAAATGTTTGAATATCAGCCCTGTGCACAACCAAAGCATTTGCTCTCCTGTCAGCAAGAACATTCACAGATGTTCTCTTCCAGTTCAGGAAATGATGGTTGCTGACATGATCCACAATTGTGCTTTTTAGCATTTCCCTTGTCCACCTGTTATCTGAGGTTATTGTATTCTGCTCGCCATTTTTGGACCATACAAAGATCCAACTTCTACTCTTTGCAGAAAACCATAAGATTCTTGCCCTCAGAGTTCTCCATGAGTCCTTTCTTGAACTCGACAGAATAGCTTTCTTTTTGCACTCATCTTGTCTAGGGGTTAAATGTATGGTACCATTAAATCAGGGGTGTCAGGATTAGGGTATGGCATTGTGGCTCCCCTGGGGTGGGGTGAGTAGGGTAGGGTTTAGTGTCCTTCACCCCCTCACTGCCTCACTGCATCCTCCACCACCCCAACAACTCATTAAGTGGCTGCGGCACCGGTGCATCGCTTAGCCTCCTGCTTTGTTGCAGCGATGAGAAAGGAGATGAAGCAGGCCAGTGGCCACATGGGATCCTGCATGGGGCTGCTGGAACCACTTCCGTGAGGCACATTGATGACCTGATAGCAGGACTCTCTGGTAAGCCAGTTGGGGGTGCATGGGACAGCTCTGCCCCCCTGCCTCACTTCATCCTCCACCCCCACCACTGCCTCATTTTGCCCTCTACCCCACCACATTGCTTAGTGGTCGCAGCACTGGTGGATCGCTCAGTTTCCTGCTTCGTTGCAGTGGCAAAGAGAAGAAGCAGGCTGGCAATCCTGCATGGGGGTTCTGGAGCTGCTGCCACGAGACCAAGCAATTGTTGGCACTTGATGGCCTGGCTGTGGGGCCCTCAGATAAACTGGTGCAGGGTGTGTGGGGCAGCTCTGCAACCCCCACCTTGCTTCATCCTCCACCCCCTCACTTTGTGGCTGCAGCAACCCCCATCACCCGACCTCACCTTGTATCGGCAGGAACCAAACAGGCGGCTGCGTAGGCTCGTAAGTAGCCTTAAGTAGGGCTTACTTTGGGGCTAGGGCTTATATTTGGCGCAGGTGTGAAAATTGGGCTAGAGCTTATTTTCGGGGTAGGACTTGTTTTTGGGGAAACACAGTATATAAGGTATTACAATTATTATAAGGTATTATAACCTCTATTATAAGAACAGAATCTTCCAAATCTAGAAGCACATCCCCCTGCCCCTTCCCCTTGTCTTTATTTTCCAGGAAATAGCAAGGGTGCCGTCTGAGATTTTAACAGGCCTTCTTTGGGCTGAGATTTCCCATTGCCTTGGCTGCAGCTCTTCTTGTTTTCTTACACACCATCACATCACGAGAGAGGTGTTTTTCAAGACCTTTTCAGGGACTTTTGAATTATATGCCTGGAGGAATGGAACAAGCACAGTTAAAGCTTTGGAAGGCAAGATACATGGCTATATAATAATAAAGTACTAATAATTAAAAATTGGAGGAGGGAATAAATACTCCAGTATTGCTGTCTAAGATTGTGATCAGCAAGCATACAGACTAAAGCAGTGCCCAATATACTGTCCACCAAAGAACATTGCTAAGAGCTTGATTAAAAGCTGCTTACCTTCCAGCACACTTTCTAACAGGAAGCTCAAACGCTCTAACAACATTAACCAAGAGCTTTATATCACCATCTGAGAGATTCTGTGCTATTACTTTCTTCCTCTCTTTTCGCCTTGGTTTTAAGGGTCGCTTTGCTTCGGCCAGTTTAAAGAGGCTGATGCTCAAAAAGCTATTAAAAAAGCAGAGCTAATATATAAAAGTTCTGTTGCTATAATTTGTCATGCTAACATTGTTTAATAGCTATAATTTCTAAATAATAATAATTCTACAAAACACACTGGTTTGAATATAGATCTCAAAACTAACCATCTACATAGAAGTGAGAATGCAACTTGACATACCCTGGGCCAGCAGAACTTAAACAGAAGGCAGAGCAGAACAAAAAGAAAAACCAAAATTGAAATAAAGTTCAGTGGATTCATAAATAAAAACGAACAAAAAATGCATTCATGAAATAAGCTAGATCGACTGAAAAGCTTGCAAAAACTCAAAAAATAAGGTCAAATTTTACTATCAGTTACATTTTTCAGATTGAAAAGTTCAACACCATGGCCTTTTACTCTTAGCAAGTAAAATCAGGAAGTATATGTTCTAATACTAGAATGCTAGATATTGATTGCTTTCCCAAACTCCTGTAAATTCTACTGGGTCAATCATCATGTTGAAATTAGAGCAAAAGCTAGGAAACACATTAATTGCTTGAGAGTGAGAAGCTCCTAGATGTGTTCATTCCTTCAGTTCTGAAATTGCTAGCAAAGGATGCTTGGGAATGTACAAAACCCAGAAGTTGTCTGGATAATCAATGTCTATCATACAAGGCAATGTCCACTCCTGATCCATATATTCAAGGGTTCTTTGTTTAAAGGAGAACAGAATAACCAAATTAAACAAAGCACTTTTCAGAAGTAGCAGATGCTATCAGAGGATTCTATTTTATTTTTACATATACATGAGCCATGGTAATGCAGTGGTTAAGAGAGCAAGTACTGCAGGCTACTTCTGCTGACTGCCAGCAGTTCGAATCTCACCAGGCTCAAGGTTGACTCAGCCTTCCAACCTTCCGAAGTGGGTAAAATAAGGACCCAGATTGTTGGGGGCAATATACTGACTCTGTAAACCACTTAGAGAGGTAAAGCACTGTAAAGTGGTATTTAAGTCTAAGTACTATTGCTATTGCTATATAGTCTTACAAACATTATGGATAATGATTGCAGGAATTGAGTATGTCTAGTCTAATGAAAAAAAGGAGAAGGGACGATATAATAGGAGTGTTCCAATATTTGAGGGGCTGCCACAAAGAAGATGGGGTCAACCTCCAAAGCACCTGAAGGCAGGACAAGAAGGAATGGATGGAAACTAATCAAGGAAAGAACCAACCTAGAACTAAGAAGGAATTTCCTGACAGTGAGAATAATTAATTAGTGGAATGGTTTCCCTTCAGAAGTTGTGGGTGCTCCATAACTGGAGTACTCCATCACTGGAGTGGGTGCTCCATCACTGGAGATTTTTAAGAAGAAATACTGTATATTTGAATATAAGTAGCTTGGGTTGGTAATTGGTCTGATGGTCTGAGCTCTCAGCTTGGCAATTTGGCTGCAAACATTTAATCACCATTCAAGTAACCAAGATATTGGTTACCACCTTTAGAGCGCTCCATGGTTTAGGACCTGGGTATTTACGAGACCGCCTTCTGCCACCGATAGCCTCCCACCGACCAGTATGCTCCCACAGAGAGGGGCTCCTCAGGGTGCCATTGGTCAAACAATGCCGACTGGTGGCCCCCAGGGGGAGAGCCTTCTCTGTGGGAGCACCTACCCTCTGGAATGAGCTGCACCCGGAGATACAGCGGATCCCGAATCTACGCACCTTTCGCCGTGCCCTAAAGACATTTTTATTCCAACAAGCCGGGCTGGCCTAACTCTTTTAAATTTTTTTTATTTTTAAACTGTTTAATTATGGGTTTTAATACAGGGGTGCTTTTAATTGTGGGCCAAATTAATTTAATCGGATTTTAATACTGTTTTTAAATTTTGTATTTCTTGTGTTTTATCTGTTGGCTGTTCACCACCCCGAGTCCTTTGGGAGAAGGGCGGTATATAAATATAAACAATAAATAAATAAATAAATAAATAAATAAATAAATAAATAAATAAGGAGACATCATGAGTGTGCTTTGAATTGTGCTCACCTGTCAGAGCACTGATCTTTATTAATGCAAATTAGTGTGGATGTTGTTTGTTCAGCTGAGTCATGGTCTGACCTTGGACTGTTTGATTGGCTAGATGTTGTTATTGAGCATGGTCTTTGGTTTTAAATATCATCTGTGTGATGTAAATTAGTGTTGTTTGTTCGTATGCTGCTGAGTCATGGTCTGGTTTCGGTCTGCTTGAATGGCTGGTAATAATCAGAAACAACAACTAGCCATTCAAACAGACTGAAACCAGACCATGAATCAGCGTATATGAAGAAACAACACTAATTTACATCACACAAACACCTACAGATCCTTACAGATTAACAGAGTTGGAAGGATCTTGTAGGTCATCTAATCCAAACCACCACCACCCCGCCCAAGCAAGAGACCCTATACCATTTATGATAAATGGCAGTCTAATCTCTTCTTGAAAGCTTCCAGTGATGAAGCTCCCACAACTTCTGAAGGCAAGTTGTTCCATTGGTTGATTGTTCTCGCTCCATGGCTTAGGACCCGGTTACTTACGAGACCACCTTCTGCCTCCGATAACCTCCCACTGGCCAACACGCTCCCACAGAGAGGGCCTCCTCAGGGTGCCGTCTGTCAGGCAATGTCGGCTGGTGACCCCCCGGAGGAGAGCCTTCTCTGTGGGGGCACCCGCCCTCTGGAATGAGCTACCCCCAGGGATACGACTAATTCCGGACCTCCGGACCTTCCGCCGGGCCCTGAAGACTTTTTTATTTCAGCAAGCCGGGCTGGGTTAAAAAATTTTTAATTGGGGAATTTTGTGGGTAAGGGGTTTTAAATTGGAGAAGCCAAAGATAATTTAATTTCATTTTAATGTATTTTAATATTTGTATTGTGTGTTTTTAATTCTGGCCGTTCACTGCCCCGAGTCCCTCGGGAGAGGGGGCGGTATAAAAATTTAATAAATAAATAAATAAATAAATAAATAAATACTGTCAGAAAATTTCTCCTTACTTCTAGGCTGAATCTCTCCTTGATCAGCTTCCATCCATTATTCCTTGTCTGGCTTTCGGGTGCCTTAGAAAATAGCTTGACCCCCCTCCTCTCTGTGGCAGCCCCTCAAATACTGGAACACTGCTATCATGTCTCCCCTGGTCCTTCTCTTCACTAAACTAGTCATACCAAGTACTTGCAACCGTTCATCATATGTTATAGCCTTTAGTCCCTTAATTATCTTGGTTGCTCTTCTCTGCACTTTTGCTAGTGTCTCAACATCTTTTTTATAGTGAGATGACCAAAACTGGATGCAGTATTCTAGTTATGGTTTTACTAAGGCTTTACAGAATGGTATTAGTACCACACTTGATCTTGATTGTATCCCTCTGTTAATGCAATTTAGGATTGCATTGGCTGCCACACACTGCTAGCTCATATTTAATTGGTTGTCCACTAAGACGTCAAAATCCCTCTCACAGTTACTGCTATTAAGCCTGGTTTCACCTAGTCTATATGTGCACTTTGGTTTTTCTTGCCTAAGTGTAAGACTTCACTTTTCTCTACATTGAATTTCATTTTGTAGATAGGCCCAATGTTCAAATCTCTCAAGATCCATCTTGAGCCTATAATCTAGGGCCGTGATGGCGAACCTATGGCACGTGTGCCACAGGTGCCATGCAGAGTCTTATCAGTGGGCACGCAAGCGTTGCCCTAGCTCAGATCCAGCGCGCATGCATGCGCCAGCCAGCTAATTTTTGGGCCTTCTGGGCCCACCAGAAGTCGGGAAATGGACCATTTCCAGCCTCCGGAGGGCCTCCGGGGGTGTGGGGGAGGCCGTTTTCGCCCTCCCCAGGCTTCAAGAAAGCCTCTGGAGCCTGGGCCAAAAGTGGGGGATCACGGGGAGTTTACGTGTGCAAGCACGGGGGGGCAAGGCGCATTGAATTATGGGTGTGGGCACACACGCATGTGACCCCCCCGTGCTCCCCCTGCTTTTGGCACACAATAGCAAAAAGGTTAGCTATCACTGATCTAGGGTGTTAGCTATTCCTGCCATCTTGGTATCAACCTCACTGAGGAGGGAACCAAAAGATGAAACTGAATTGGGAAATGTCTGCATGGAAATAGAAAATATACAGAACTGTCCTATATGATCAAAAATCCCACTATACAGTCAGGTCCAGAAATATTGGGACATCGACACAATTCTAACATCTTTGGCTCTATACACCACCACAATGGAGTTGGAATGAAATAAACACAATGTGCATTAACTGCAGACTGTCAGCTTTAATTTGAGGGTATGTACATCCAACTCAGGTGAACGGTGTAGGACTTACAGCAGTTTGCATATGTGCCTCCCACTTGTTAAGGGACCAAAAGTAATGGGACAGAATAATAATCATAAATCAAACTTTCCCTTCTTAATACTTGGTTGCAAATCCTTTGCAGTCAATCACAGCCTGAAGTCTGGAACGCATAGACATCACCAGATGCTGGGTTTCATCCCTGGTGATGCTCTGCCAGGCCTCTACTGCAACTGTCTTCAGTTCCTGTTTGTTCTTGGGGCATTTTCCCTTCAGTTTTGTCTTCAGCAAGTGAAATGCATGCTCAATGGGATTCAGGTCAGGTGATTGACTTGGCCATTGCATAACATTCCACTTCTGTCCCTTCAAAAACTCTTTGGTTGCTTTTGCAGTATGCTTTGGGTCATTGTCCATCTGCACTGTGAAGTGCCGTCCAATGAGTTCTGCAGCATTTGGCTGAATGTGAGCAGATAATATTGCCCAAAACACTTCAGAATTCATCCTGCTGCTTTTGTCAGCAGTCACATCATCAATAAATACAAGAGAACCAGTTCCATTGGCAGCCATACATGCCCACGCCATGACACTACCACCACCATGCTTCACTGATGAGGTGGTATGCTTAGGATCATGAGCAATTCCTTTCCTTCTCCATACTCTTCTCTTCCCATCACTCTGGTACAAGTTGATCTTGGTCTCATCTGTCCATAGGATCTTGTTCCAGAACTGTGAAGGCTTTGTTAGATGTTGTTTGGCAAACTCTAATCTGGCCTTCCTGTTTTTGAAGCTCACCAATGGTTTACATCTTGTGGTGAACCCTCTGTATTCACTCTGGTGAAGTCTTCTCTTGATTGTTGACTTTGACACACATACACCTACCTCCTGGAGAGTGTTCTTGATCTGGCCAACTGTTGTGAAGGGTGTTTTCTTCACCAGGGAAAGAATTCTTCGGTCATCTACCACACTTGTTTTCCATGGTCTCCCAGGTCTTTTGGTGTTGCTGAGCTCACTGGTGCATTCCTTCTTTTTGAGAATGTTTCAAACAGTTGTTTTGGCCACGCCTAATGTTCTTGCTATCTCTCTGATGGGTTTGTTTTGTTTCTTCAGCCTAATGATGGCTTGCTTCACTGATAGTGACAGCTCTTTGGATCTCATCTTGAGAATTGACAGCAACAGATTCCAAATGCAAATAGCACACTTGAAATGAACTCTGGGCCTTTTATCTGCACATTGTAATTGGGGTAATGAGGGAATATCACACACCTGGCCATGGAACAGCTGAGAAGCCAATTGTCCCATTACTTTTGGTCCCTTAACAAGTGGGAGGCACATATACAAACTGCTGTAAGTCCTACACCGTTCACCTGAGTTGGATGTACATACCCTCAAATTAAAGCTGACAGTCTGCAGTTAACGCACATTGTGTTTGTTTCATTCCAACTCCATTGTGGTGGTGTATAGAGCCAAATATGTTAGAATTGTGTCGATGTCCCAATATTTCTGGACCTGACTGTATTTAGTGGAATTCACTTTCAGATAGGTATGGATTGAATGGTTAGAAAGGAAAGAAAGAAGAAATAAAAGCAGGGGTTGGAACCGAATGGGGGAATAGATAAGGTTTTTGAGGGAATGAAATATGCTGACAAAAAATCTAACTAAAGCTCTGCCAGTCCTACAAGATAGATCAGACTAAGAAATCAAGGCCAAGAAATCATCAGATAAATGGGCCTTGAGTCCATTCCCATAAAACTAACTTGAAAAACAACTTCTTGTTTCATACAATAACTTTACAATAAAAGTATTCCTATCCTACATGGCATTGGTTTCTTGATCTGGTCTACCTTACAGGACTGACAATAAACAATGGTACATCTCTTAATGGCAGTTTCACTCCACCATAAGAGCTCCCTCTTGGATATGTGTCTCGTATTCCATTGAGTTTCCATTTCTGCCCTTAATGTTGTTAACTGCCCACCTTCCTTCAGTTCCTGGCCTAGCCCTTCTTTTACTTCGATAGATAGCTGATATCATGGGTTTTGCATGTAACATCATACACAACCTCATGTCACTTATATGGTAGTATTGTAATAGCTACTTCCAGATGCCCTTGTCCAGCATAGTTGTAGAAATACATTGTTTCCACACAATCTATTTCACATTGTTATCATCAACCTCCAATTACCTTCATGTTTTCAGAAAATGTAATTGAAAATGCCAGCCAAAAATAGATTAAATGTTATTCCATTAAATGTTATTGACACAAAACTAGAAACAAGTTTGCTTAGAAAGGGACATGGCTACATTTTAAAACAAATTAAGCAAGGTTTTCAGTGCCTCAATTGCACTTTCAACAAATATTTAAATTAAAACCCTTCAAAGTTAGACAAAAACATGAAACACATTACAACTTTGAGCTAGCCTTATATTCTCTTCCTTACCCAATAGTAGGGATTTCATCTTCATTGACCAAGTCAGAAAGAACAAAATGGTGCTTTGCAATCAGGAAACGATTAATTACTGACTCCCTAACCTGAAAAAAAAGATGAAAATCTGAAATTAATTGCTGTGCTGCTCACATTAACAAATACAGCTGTTCTTTTTCTTAAAGACCCATTTTGGGCTAAAACAATCAAGCAAAAGGTCTATAGGATAAAACTCATTCAATCCTACCTCATTCTTTCATTTTAGATTAATTCTTTCTTAAAAACAGAAAATAATCATAAGCAAGTAAGATTTGGGTAGAGTGACATACAAAAGCAATTGAAAAGGACAGAGTAGGCCAATTTGCAAACTGACTAAGATACTGAAATTGGGAATGAATCTGGTCTATAGTTTTTAAGGAAAAAATTCTATTAATTTGCATTAAGTTGCAGAGACCTATCCAACTTGCAACAGTTGTCATTTCTTAATGGACTTAGTCATTTTGTCCTTTAAGAGAAAATCCGCATGGCTGTTCTTAGCCCATATAGCTTGCATTAAAACAAAACAAAACATAACACGCTTGAGATGCAAAAATGTTTTTATAATTTGGCCTTTAACTTCCCTGGTTTCCTAAGAAATCAGAATATGGTGACATAAGCAATGAGGTGGCAAAGATAAATTTTAGGAAATATTTGTATTGTTTATTTCTATTATAAATTTCTATTTATTATTAACATTAAATATATTTTTACTATTTAGTTAAATGATTTAGTTCAAAACACACCCTGTTGTCTTACAACGCATAAAGATGTATTACATCTTTTGCAGAGATATACACAAAATATTTCCAAGTATTTTTATTTATTAATTAAATGTATATACCATCCATCTTGCCATCAGTTATGGTACTTCCAATTATTTAGGGTTATGATTAAGCTTAGAATTTTTCCAAAATATTTCCAAGTATATTTTGCATATGTATTTATTATGTACATTAAAAAAACCTTACCTTTTCCATGTACTTTGCAACAATTGCTCTGTGTGCATCCGAATAGTCCTTTGAATCAATGACATTCTTCTTCTGCAATCTTTTCTCATAGTCCTGAAAAAGAGCCACCACCATGACTTATATCAATGAAAGCCCTTTAGACCTCTATCTTTCAAAAACACATATTGTGTTGTTTTTTCTTCTCCTTCAGCTTTCTACTGCCAGCATGAATCAAAAAGCCATCAGAAGCAAGTCAGATCAGAAGAAAAACCAAAAGCAGCAAGTTCATCATCACCCTCCCTCCCCTGCCAAGTAAAATAAAGTTTATAGACATTCTACAGTACTTTAAAAGGAGAAAACCTCATAACATCTTGAGTTCTGGGTTTAAAATGATTGAAAATGAGAATTAACAACTTGGCTCCAATATTGGAGATAATGCCTGAATTCATATCGCAGGTTCAGCTATAACCATTATTAACTGGGACCATCCAATACATTTAACCATAAACATAGAACATATGAACATAGAACATAAATAACAGTTGGATGGCACCTTAGAGGTCTTCTACTCCAATCCCTGCTTGAGCTGGAGATCCTATACCCATGATGGCGAACCTATGGCACGGGTGCCGGAAGTGGCACACAGAGCCATCTCTCTGGGCATGCGAGCCGTCACCCGTTGCTCTTCTGGGTTCTGGCGTTGACCAGCTGGTCTTCATGTGCACTGGAGTGCCAGAAACCAAAAGAGCAGCCACATGCGCATGCCGGGAAAATGATCTTCTGGTTTCCAGCACGCACCTGGTCTTCCGGTTTCTGGCGTGCATGCATGTGCGAAGACCAGCCAGCCAATGTGCATGTGGACCAGGCGGCTGCTCTTCTGGCACTCCCACATGCATGAAGACCAGGTGGCCAGTACACTGGAACCCGGAAAAGCAAGGGGAGCAGAGCTGTGAGCCAGGATGGGCGGGCCAGGTTTCCTGCCCTCCCCGCCTGAGTAGGCTTCTTGTGCGGCCCCAGCCCTCCAGCCTGCGGCACTGATATGTATCTGCAGTCCAGAGCGCCTGGCTGGCTCGGGCACACAGGCAGGCAGTGTTTGCTGGCTGGGCGCCCTGCCGCCCCGCCCACTTCTGCCATTGTGAGGGGCAAAGGGGTGGTGGTGATTCTCACGTTGCCATTTCTGGCCGGGATGCTGGAGCAGCCAGGAGGAAAACAAGGAGCCGCCGTCAGGTAAGCGAGCTGTGTCAGGAGGACCGGAAGAGAGCGCAGCTCCTCACGCATGGAGACACTGCCGAGGGGTAAGAAGTGTGCCAACTGGGAAGCGGCCGGGAAAGGGGGAGCTGCGCCGGCTTGTTCTCGGTGGCCAGCTTGGGGGGGGGGCACTTCATCCCGGCCAGAGTTGGGGCAAAGCTCTTCTGCCTACTGGCCCCCTAACCCAAGCCCCGGGAACACAAACACCCCTTACCTCTGAGGTCGGGAAAGGGCTCCGGCTTTCCAGTAGAGGGAGGCGGCATTCTCCACCCAACTCTTTCCCTGCCCAGGGCTGTGGAATCTGGTCATCTGTGGGGATGTCCCGTCACCCTGACGGAGACCGGGGGGGGTGGGCAGGGCGGGTGGGCAGGGAGGTGTGAGAACCCCTGAAAGGTCAGGCAGAGCCGGCGCATGTGCACCAGATAGCTGGTCTTTGGGCGCACATGTGTGCCAGAAACTAGAACACCAGGTGGCCAACGTGCATGCATGTGCCGGAAACCAGAATATCATCTGTTCTTCCAGTTTCCGGCATGCAAGCGCGAGCTCCCCTTTTCATCACTCAGTGCTGAAAAGGTTCGCCAACACTGTCCTATACCATTTCGGACAAATAGTTGTCCAATGTCTTCTTGAAAACCTCCAGTGATGGAGCACCACCAACTTCTGGAGGCAAGCTGTTATATCTTTCTTTCATGATCTTTTACTTTTTAATTCTTGTCCTATCTTGGGTGCTTTGGAAAATAAGTCTTTCTTCTCTGTGACAGCCCCTCAAGTACTGAAACACTATTATCATATGAATCCTAGTCCTTCTCTTTGTTAGACTTCACATACCCAGTTCCTCCAACCAGTTTATCATACACTTTACTTTCCAGTACCCTAATTATCTTTGTTGCTCTTCTCTGCACTCTTTCTAGAGTCTTAACATCTTCTATTCAATGGGAAGATTTGAATGGTTTGGTAAATTAAAGATTTAATATTTTATTTTTATATCCTAATCTCCCCCTTCATTTTTTTAAAAGTATGCATAAAACCATTTAGTAAAACACAACACTATTTAGAACAGTCCACTAGAAGGCCCTGTTCTGTCTAGCCCTGGAAGAGTTTTATTCAAAAATTTGCTCATTCCAAGCTTGGAAGGTTTGTGATCAAAATATATGGCTTTGTTTCAGTAAACATTTCAGAATTATGACATGGAGAATTTCTCTCCACCTACGTCCTCACATAAACTACCTTGCCATAAATTAAAATAATATCATAAGTTTTCTTCGCAGATTTTCTAAAGTTGCTAAATTAAAGCTGCAGTGATCTCAAAGAAACTGAAACTAAGATGGGAAGTTTTATTGTCAATAAATTCTAATTACAATTTTTAGAACGATTTCTTACCTGCAAATTTTTTTCACTGATCTCTCTTTCCAATAAAGGAACAAATTTAAAATTTTGAAATTCAGCTACCTCATTTTTTCTGAGCTCAAGAAACCAAAATCTTTTGGACATATTAAATTCCTCATCAGATACAAAATTAAATTCTTGCTGCAATTGGTCCAGTCGAAAGAAATCTGGGATGGAAGAATCACCACATGGAGTAATCTGAAAAACAAAAAGGCTTATAGTTTAGTTTAGTTTAATTTAGTTTATTTGATTTGTATACCGCCCTACTCCCGAAGGACTCTTTATATACTTAAAGAAAACTGTAACTAAGTATTTTAGTTTGTGTATATGTATCTATGTTCATATTCACACACACAGTGCTTCTGTGGGCAACATGGCAAAGAATAGAATAGTAGGAGTAGGAATTGAGTAGAATAGAGCAGAGTATCGTGGCATGGCGTGGCATGGCATAGACTACACTCCCCTCCCATTTTTACAAATACTGAAGAGATTCTCATCCAGGAAGAAGCAGTTGTCTCTGAACAATGGAATAACAAAAACAAAAGGAGGAGATGATGGAGGCAGAAAAGGGGTAAGAGAGGGGGGATTTTAAATAAACTAAAAAGTGGAATAAAAACTCCTCTTCCTTCACTCTTCCTGACTAATTTACATTCATTTGCTAATAAGATGGATGAAATACTTCTTTTAAACAGATGCAACTCTGATTTTTACAACTCAGCAGCTCTGTGCTTCACTGAAACCTGACTAAATGGGGTGTGATGCTAGTTTGCCTCCTCATAGTGCACCCTGGATAGCACGGAATTGTGAACCAAATGACTAGCAACAACTGGCAGGCAGACTACATTGAAGAATTGGCAGTTAATGACAGTTGGCAGTCAGACATCTTTGTAGAACTCCTGGCTCTCTAAATACATGGCAACGGCTAAATAAAATGGCATTGGTCAACTCTGAACAGGATCCGTACCCCACATGGTGTCTACCAGTGGTGGGTTGCTATCGGTTCGCTCCAGTTTGGGAAAACCAGTAGCAGCAGCAGGGGGAGGCTCCGCCCACCCACATGGACATCATCAAATACGATCTGTGCATGCACAGAACCTTCTGCATATGTGCAGAAGTGGTGCGCACGCAAGTGAACAGGTAGCAAAGGTAAGTGAAACCCACCCCTGGTGTCTACCAGGACTCAAGTGGGGTCTTGTCTCTACCTGTGTGTGACTGTGGTGCTCCTTGACAAAATATCCATCACATTGTGTCCAAATGTCCATCAAGAGCTTACATTGGCCCAATGTCTGATTTTTTCAACATAGATCACCCTGTCCTTGAATGGCTGGGTGGACTGGACATTAACATTTGAACTACTATAAGTCCATGTATTTGCCATATACTGTACTAAATAAATAAATAACCTAGCTAAATGAATCAATTGATTATAGCAGCCTGCATATCCCAGGGTTTCAGATACCAAGGGCAGACAGAATTGCAGAAACATCCAGTAAAAAAAAGGGAGGGGGTCTCTGCTTTTATATCAACAACTGATGGTACAAAAATGTAACTACGCTAAAGAAATTCTGTGATCTTCTTAATTATCAATTGCAAACCATTTTATTCTCCATGACAGTTTTCCTCATTTCTACTATTTGCAGTATTGGGGCGCTCTCCTGAGTTTTTGAGTCAGCCTGTGCTGTTCCCACCTTCTTTCCACTCTCTGTGCTCGGAGATCAGGAGGGGGCAGTCCTTGCTCATTGCCTGAGCTCCGTTGCTCCTCATTTCCACTGCCTGTCCTCTCTCAGTCATCCTGCCCTGTTCCTCCCTGATGGCAAGCCATCCCAAGCCTGAGGGGCCCGGGGCTGCCTCGTCCTGCTCCTCCCTGCATTCCTCCAAAGCCAACAAGGCTGCCCCTTGGCCTCTGTCAGCTCCGGCTCATCCTCCTCTGTGGATTCAGGCTCCGATAGGGACAGAGACCCAGAGACCTTCACTTGTGGAAGCCATGGAAGTTGCTGACAGGAACAGTAAATGGAGCTGGAGGAGCTGGATAAGTGGAGAGCATGGCCAGGCTGATTGGATGATGGAGCAAGCCATAAAGTTTATGCGGGGGGTGCGTGTGTTCAAGAACCTCAAAGCATACAAAGCCCTCGCCCAAAACACACAACTCTAAGACCAGCCGCTTCCAGCCACAGCAACTGACAGGGTGACTGCGGTGGGCAGCACCAGAGATGGATCAGCAGCAGTGAAACCTTCTACCACCCCAACCCCGGGGGGGGGGGGCAAATCAGTGGGCACCATATCCTGGACGTGAAATTTGATGGAGATCTCCAGGAGCTGGAGTTCTTTTTAACCCAGGCTTGAACCTACATGCAGGAATATTGTCCCAAAATAGTTACAAAAGCTGCAAGGTAAGATGTGCCACCATGGCCCTAGAAGAGGCTGTGGTGGATGGTCACCCTCCATAATGATGATACTGAGGTGAGAAAATTCAATTTCATCCTGAGCTGAGGAAATTCAACTGATTCGTGGCAGTGCTCCGCAAATGCTTTGAAGACCCCCTGGCAGATCACAAAGTCAGAGACTGTATCAAGACCATCAGCCAAGGCATGGAGAGACATCTAGTATTGGGACTAGCATGGATACAGAAATGGAATCCCTGTGTAAATTGGAGGAGGGGGTTGCTAAAAATCCAATGAGCAAAAGCAAAAGGAAAGTCAGAAAGGGGCTTAAGAACCCCAGAGCCAAGGCAGGAGGTGGGAGCCACAATGCAAGAGAGAAAAAAGGCTGATCCCTGAATTCCACCAGATTATCGGGACTAGCAGGATGTGTTTAGCGAAAAGGGTTCAGACGAACTCCCACCCCATTGGCCAAGTGACTTCTCCATAGATACAGTGGTGGGATTCTGCCGGTTCTAGGCGGTTCGGCCAAACCGTTTGTTAAATTGCTGGCTTGCCCCGCCCCTTACCCCGCCCCTCCGCACCATATTTATTGCCAATAAATTGTGGTGGGTGAGGGGCAGGCCAGCCAGCAATTTAACAAACGGTTCGGTGTTTTTTTGTAATTTTATTGGCCCGCGGAGCTTCAGCATAGGCTAATTAGCCCGTTGATTAGATCGGCCTCCCGACTCTCAGCTGATTTGCTCTCAACTGTTTTGCTCAGGGCTCTGCTGCTTGCTTGCAAAGAGTGCTTAAGCAGATTTTTTCCCCCTAGCTATGCTGAAAAACGAAACTGAAAGTAAAGCAGGCTGTTGGCTTTGCTGTTTGCTGCAATGTTGGAAAATTAGGCAGGCAGATTTCTTTTTCCTCACCAAAAAAGGTAGGTGCAAACAATGGGAAATTTAGGGAAAAAGAGTTCAAGATTTTAAAACACAAAAGAAAAAATGCTCTATTTAACTAGGGAATTGTAATAATTGAGATACTATTAATTGTATATTGTGTTGAGAGCAGAAATGGTTAAGTTGTGGTTTGGAGAATATATGGAGGAAATTATTTGGTTTATTATTATTGGTAAATATAATTAATTGATTTGTAAGAAATTAGATTGCATGGAAATAATTGGAATATTCATGTTCATATTGATTAATATACAAAAAAGATAGTTATATAACTAATTGATTTATATTAAAATGTTGAATTTATATTAAACAACTGTAATATTACATAATTAACCAATGTGATTATAAAAATAGATGACAATGGGAAGGGGTATAATATAGAATAAAAGGGAAAAATTGAATTTGATTAAGATTAGAGATGAGGATGAAGGGTAATATTGGTTTTTTAAAAAAATACCGTATTTTCCGGCGTATAAGACGACTGGGCGTTTAAGATGACCCCCAACTTTTCCTGTTAAAATATAGGGTTTGGGCTATACTCGCCATATAAGACTATCCCTCTTCCAATGGACACCAAATAAAAATTAAAAAACATCAACTGGCTCACCTACAATGTAAAAGCAGCTGTGCTAGACCCAAAATGGCCCCTGCAACAAGCAGGAACCTCACACAGCCACAAAAAGCCCCCCCAAAAAACTTTCACACTCTAAACACACACAACACAACACAACTGGCTCACCCACAATGTAAAAGCAGCTGTGCTAGTCCCAAAATGGCCCCTGCAACAAGCAGGAACCTCACACAGCCACAAAAAGCCCCCCAAAAAACTTTCATACTCTACACACACACAACACAACTGGCTCACCCACAATGTAAAAGCAGCTGTGCTAGACCCAAAATTGCCCCTGCAACAAGCAGGAACCTCACACAGCCACAAAAAGCCCCCCCAAAAAACTTTCACACTCTAAACACACACAACACAACACAACTGGCTCACCCACAATGTAAAAGCAGCTGTGCTAGACCCAAAATGGCCCCTGCAACAAGCAGGAACCTCACACAGCCACAAAAAGTCCAAAAAACCAACTTTCACACTTTACACACACAAAATTCCACATACAGCTTTGTGAGATTTTGTGTGTTTGTGTAGTTAGAGTGAAACACTACAGAAACACACTAAATCTCAGAAAGCTGCACAAATATTATTTTATTTTATTTTATTTTTATTTTTATATGAAAGCTAAATTTAAAACTTCCTAAAATTTAAATGGCTAGGTCTAAAAAAGAACAACTAAAAAAACCCCAATTGACTATTTTTTTTAAAGCTCCCAAAGGGGAAAAAAACTTACCCATTAGAACAGGGGTCTCTAACCTTGGCAACTTTAAGACTTGTAGACTTCAACTCCCAGAATTCCTCAGCCAGCTTTGCTTTGCTGGCTGAGGAATTCTGGGAGTTGAAGTCCACAACTCCCTGCTTGCTTGATTGCTGATTGCTGATGGAATAGATTCAGGCAAGCGAAGCAAGGCAAGTGTTGGGACTAGCAGCTGAGGTAAGCAAGCTGGAGGGGGAAAACTTTTTATCTTTTACATGGTTCTGGCCATCCCAGCTGAGTTGCAGGGAACTCAGCTGGGATCGTCAGAGCTGGGATCGCCAGAGCTGGGATCGCCAGAGCCATTTAAGGCTCGTCAGAGCCTTTCGGGCTGGTCTGCCTGGTTACAGGAGAACTACACCCGGCGTATAAGACGACCCCCGACTTTTGAGAAGATTTTCATGTGTTAAAAAGTCGTCTTATACGCCGGAAAATACGGTAGATAAGGAATAAATATGGCAAAAAGGAAATATAGAAATTGTAAATTTAATTGAAATGACTAAACACTGTTT